CCCCAAAACCCCAAAACCCCAAAACCCCTTTTTTGGCTAGAAATATTGAATAGTAACTGATCTAGAAATATATTTAAATATCATTAGTAACTAAGACTGAGACTTTATATGTTTAAATTTTCTCATATTGGGATCGGCATATTCTCTCCCATTCTTTTTATGACAGCAGTGCCTTTACATCATCCCTTTTGTTATTTGTGAGAGCTTCATTGGAATCTACATATCTATGAGACTGTTTGACTATTGCTTTTTGGGAGAGAGATTGAACAATCTGTGCCCATTTGTTAAATCCTTCCAAGTCTAGCTTTCTGCCTTGTTCCCTTACTAATTTATGCTTGGTCCAGCAACTTTGCATTTGTTGGAAACGAGTAACAGGGTCGCTCTTTTGATTATATTTTGATATTTTCTTATACTTTTGTACAGATTTATGCTTACTAGTTTTATTTCGAGCTACAGATCTAAGAACCCTACTTGTATTGTTAAGGGAGTTGGTTCTTTTAAACCCTGTTATTGCTCTGTTAATCTTTGAAGTTCGAGATCTTTTATTTTTCTTTACTCTTTTCTTTTTTGTGTTCTGGCTTTTATTTGCTTTTGAGTTAGTGTCAATCGAATAATTGATGTTTTCTTTATTAACGATTTTTCCAATTTTTAAATTTATATGATTTCTTTTGTTTCTCATAGGCATAGCAGAAACTGACCGGTTTGATCTCTTTTTATGCTTCTTTCATCTTTTCTTATGATTATTTAGTCTTTTATAAGTTCCAGAGCTTCCTTCAATAGAATAATTTTGCTCCACTTGCCCTATTTGTGACTTTATCATAGAGGTTAATTCTGAATCAAACATTTGGGCGTTTTCAATTTGTATTTCTGGTTGCTTTGGCTGAAGCACTCTGCTCATTTTTCGATTTTCATCATTATGTTTTTCTAGAATTTTCTTATTATTCTGGATTAGATTTGGATCGAAATTGTTTTGTTTCTCTTTCAGATTACCTCTATCTTTCTATTTTGATTAATTAAAAGAGGATCAATAATGCGAAATAAGTATTTACTTGATTCAAATGTGCATTTGAATTATGGAAGTATTCTTCTTCTGATGCTTGGACCTCACTCTTCACATCAAGCATATTTTCTTTACCGTATTTGAATTCATTTTTCCCATCTTGGCATTGATTTAATTGCATCTCTTTTATTTGGAAATAATATTGATCTTGGTCGTCATAAATGGATTTTCCTATATTTTAGAATTTGATGAATTCCCATATTTTAACTTAAGTTTCAAAGGTTAGGAATATGAATAATTATACCTTCTGCTTCGTAATAATTTTCTTCAGCTTCTTCGATCAAATGACGTTCATTTTGATTTTTGACATCTACTTCATGTAGTTGGTCTATTTTGCGTTAAAGACTATTAACTATCCGTATATTACCGCTCATTTCAGTTTAATTTAAAAATTAAATTTTCAATATTCTTCCAAAATTTAGGGGTTTTGGGGTTTTGGGGTTTTGGGGTTTTGGGG